TTTCCAGATTTGCTTTACTGCAAATTCATACATTTCATCGAAATGTATACTTAGAGCAACTTGTTTTCAACCAGCGTAATGGGAAGTGACATCTGTTGCTCTTGGCAATTCAAGATGGTGAATCATTTCCAATAATTTTTCTTTTTGAGGGAGTTTCTGCTGATTGCAACCATTATTGGGGCTGCTGAGTTTTTTTTTCAGGCTGCGATAACATTGGGATAAATTTCAGATCAATTATTGATTTCAAACACAAATTTTAGAGCTGACGATTGCTGCAGAACATTTTTCTAAAAAGATGCAACTCTTTTCAGTGAGTCAGTTTCATGTAAATCTGAACTGAGTTTTACACGCAAATTTATACATGGTATTTCAATGTCTAATGTCTGACATTCCCTGTAACTGGGGGAGGTTTTAACAAGAAACCACCTTGGCTCCATGATTTGTATATGGTTCATTCTCTTGCTTATGCTTTCTATCACTCCATCTTGAATTACAAGGGAAAACTTTAAAAAATTGTCTTCCTCTTTAAAGAAAAAAGGTTTATTTGAAAGAGAGAGAGGGGAGAGGGAGGAGAGAGAGAGAATCTCAAGCAGACTCCCTACTGAGTGTGAAGCCCAACATGGGACTTGATCTCATGACCCTGAGATCATGACTTGAGCCAAAATCAAAAGTCAGATGCCCAACTGACTGAGCCACAGGCACCCCTAAATTGTCATCCTCTTTAATAATTGGTTCGTCAAACTTTATGTGGAAATAGTGTTCTTTTCTACCAAATATGACAATCTTTATTTCTAATTCTAAGCCTTTGGATATTTGCTCGGCAATGTTGTAATAGTTTTTTTAAATCCAGAGATTCTAAACTCATTGAAGAATTCTACTAAGTGGTTCGCTTTATTGCAATGTCCACGGGCACACCTGTATTCTGCAATAACGTACTGACAAGGTTTACTGCCTATGCCTGGCAGATCTGGTCTCGGTGCTCAGGCCTGAGAGTTAACATTTCTGCAGGTGCTGCAAGGACAGCTTCCAGGCAGGGAAGGGCCAGCTCATCTCCCACTGTGGTCCAGGCACCAGCGCCACAGGGAACACTTCCCTCTCCCGGGGTCGCCCACTCTGCCACTGTCACCACCAGTGCCTGTCGCCCGATGGCCAAGCCAACTGCTTAGGGCATGTGCCGCCCACCATGTGGGCATAATCGCTTGGCATCTTCCCTCTACTCACAGACGTCCTCCGTTGTTCCAGCAGACGTCACTTATAAGACACAAGTTCAAAGAGAAACTAAGATTTTCAAGAAGATAACAGCTGAGCATGGACCCAGGTGGACCTCTGTGTGATTCCAGAGGCTGCACACCCGTGACGCTGGCCCTGGTTATCATCATGGCCAATAGTGACGGAGCTCACCCCACACCAAGCCCTGGTCTGTGGACCCATTCAATACTCTTCCACAGCAAGATTAGGAGCAGCCTCCTCCGAGCCTTCAGAGGCATTTGTGTCTCACCCCAGAGCATCCCCGCGGGGAGGCAGAGCCAGATGCTCAGCCCTGGTTTCTTGCTTCCAGCACAAACAGAGGACAGAGTTCAAGCCTGGAACTCCCACCTACCCAGCCATACGAGCTGATAACCAAGCCTCAGGGTGCCGGGGTGAGACGGACTGAGAAAGATTGTAAACTGTGGACAGTGACCGATTAGGAAGTCCTGAAGTCAGTTTGGTGGCCTGTGACCAGCACTTTGAAACCGTGAAACTGAAAAGAAGACAGAGGGTCAGAGTGCACCTCTGAAGTAGGGCAACTATTGTTTTGCATTGGGGTGAGTTGTAGATCTATTTGTGTGTGCTAGATCACATGTAAATTGCATGTCTTTCTGTGCCTCCTCAGACACAAGTCTTGCCCAGATTCTTAGTTTCAGCTCTGCTGGCCAAGGCTCAGGGGGAGCACACTGGGCACACTGTCCAAATGTGGCCCCCATTCCTGAAATCAAAGCCCCATCACTTCCAAGCAGTCCCGTGGAGACCTCGGCCCAGAACCAGACCTGCAGGGGGACTGCATTTCAGGGGTGGGAGGGCGAAGTGGTGCAGGTGCATGGTGAATGGAATTGCTTCAGCCAAGAGGTTCGGATGTAGGGATAAGCCTGAGACCAGCAAGGGACTGGGCACCTGCGTAGAACCTGTCAGGTGGTTGGTAAAGGTATCCTTGTCCCCATGTGTCCCAGATGGGTTATCGGAGTTATTGTCAGTAACAATAGGACCAACCATATCTGGGGTCCTTTTAGCAATGGGCAGGCACTGTGCTGGGCACTTTCTAAAACCCAGTTCCTTTTACTCTTATAATAACTCTGCCCTGTCTTACAGGCCAGAACACTGAGGCTCAGGGAGCAAGTGCCCTGCGCCGAGCCACATGGTTGCTACGTAGAGGACATTTGTGTGTGGGTATGTTTTTGGCATTCAAATGTCAGGTTTTAAGCCGAGCTACTCTAGCTCCCTTGTAGGACGTGAAGATGTGCTCCAGGCCCCACAGGCTTTCAGAGGTAGAGCTGAAGCCAGAACCAAGCCTGCCCAGCATCCACAGGTAAATCCTTCCACCTGCCACCTGAGGAGTCCCGCCCTCACCTCCTGGACCCCTGGGTCTTCCCCTTCTCTCTTGGGACCTGCCAGTCCCTGCTTCTCTTGGCTGTTCTGTGAGAAAGGAGGAGTCTCAGACCCTGGCAGCTGGGGAGAGCTCAGGGACCACCACCAATCTGCTGTGTGTCCCGGGAGGAGTGTGTCCGTCTTCCCAGGGATGGAATGAATGGAGGACTGAGCTGCAGGAGCTGCCTGGTCGGCGAGTCACTCGCGCGAGGTTTGCCAGATCAAATCCAGGACGTCTGGCTACATCTGAATTTTAGATAAATAATCAATTTTCAGTAGCAGCATGTCCCAAATATTGTGGGATATACTTACACAAAAAGTTATTTGTTGTTTATCTGCATTCAAATTTAGCTAGTGTCCCGTGTTTTTATATGCTAAATCTGGCAATCCTCTTCAGGGTCTCGTTTGGATAATTTCAGCGTTCTTACTCAGTGAGTTTTGCTGAGTGTGTATCTGGGGCCAGCCTCTGTCTGGGGGAGCTCTTGATCTGAGGGAAAGAAGTAGAAAAGCCAATGACCATGGGCTGCTTGCAAGTGGGGGTTCAGGGTGAACAGGGGTGAGGTAACCACAGGGAGGGAGAGGCTGAGCTGGTTTGGAAAGAGAAAGATGTCCCTATGCCAAGGGTTTGACAACACTGCAGACCCCAAGGTCAGAGCCAAGGGCTGGATTCCCACAGGACATGGTCACGAGGAAAACTACACCTGGCCTGCCCACTGATGGCATCTCAGACGAGTTATGGGGCTTCTCTCTTTCCATGCGTAAATAGGTCTATAAGACCTTCCTTGCACTCATATTGGACGTTGTGTACAGAAGAAAGGAAATGATGTGTACAGAGCATGCTGCAAACAAAACCAGTGAAGGCTTATCACCTCGACGTTGAGTCCAGCAATAAACACGCCAGAGACACACCATCTGTGACCACCCATGTCTGCTGAGTGGAGAATGACACCAGGCTCCTTTGCAAGGACTCCAGCCACACTGCATACAGCCCTTCTCACATTGGCCTTTCCAATTCTGATCTGCTCCCTTCTCCCTAACCCACCCCAGCTTTGCTCTGGGAATTACACTTCCCAGCCTCCCTTGCGGCCCTCTTGCTCAAAGGCTGCCATCTTGGTCCCTGAGATGGAAGTGGGAGTTGCTTTCTGGAAACTCTTTCTAGAAAGTAGGGCTCTCTGGAAGCTCTTTAAAAGTGAGGCCTACCAGCTGTCACCTGCTTCTTGTCCTTCTTCCTTGCCGCCATTCTGCCTGGAGTGCAGAAGCAATGCTGGAGCCTTGGGGTCCTCCCTTGGGGGCAATGGAAGTACACACAAGAGCCACATGCCAGTGGCTGCTTCCCTCTTGGTAGCTGTCCTCCCAGACCCTGCTGCTCACAGCTGGACTTTTTTGTTATGCAGCGAGGCCACTGTGGTCAGGTCTCTGCTCTAGGTGGTCAGACCCAGTCCCTGCTGTCTACACCCTGTGTATGGGGAGCTCACCATGACCCCTCACCCCCATCTTCTGGCTGCAAATCCATTAGTAGGCTAGAAAGCATTACGAGAGTCCCATAACAGACACTGTTGATGCCCCAACCACAAGCCCTGTTCTTGCCACCCCAGGGGGCACCCTGGCCAGCCTTGGCAACCTGTGGCATATGTTTCCCAGCCCAAGGCACTCTGATCTCCCGTACCCCCTTTGCCACCTGCACAGCAGGCTGGGAAGGACAGGGGATTAACCCTCTGGAAGCCACCCTCCAGCAGAGAGTAAAGGGAGTGGTGGCTAAGTACCCCAGTTCCCTGGCCAGCAGGTGGGATGCTCTCGGGTCCTGTAGGGTTCCCCAGGGCTTAGCCTGCAGCTGCCCTCGATGGCTTCTTGGTCAGATAGATCGCCCTTTTATGGCTCTCTCCCCTTCCCTACTCCCCAGCTTGGACTCCTCTCCCCAGTAATCCATTTGCCTGCAAATCCTGATCTCAGGGTCTGTCCCCTGGGGAACCCAAACTCAGACAAGCCGATCAGCTGACTTGATCTTCACCCCATCCTTTGAGGATGATGGGGGGGCAACTATTGTCTTTATAACAGAGGAAACCAAAGTGTGCTCCTGGGTGGGGGGGAACACATGTGCTCTGAGAGCAGGAGTGCGCCTGTAGTCCCTGTGGAGCTCACACGTGGAAAGACAAGTGCTCGACCAAAATCTTCCCAAGTCAAAGCCGCTCAGCTCTTAGCCCCCCAGGAGGAACACTTACAGCACAGACACTGCCGAGCCCTGGGCACAAAAGAAAGATTGAGTCTGTTGCACAAACCTACACACATAACTTATTTTCTCCTGTCAGTAGAGCCATTCTGACTGTCCTGTACATAAGTCACAGGATCTTTGGTCTTTTCTCCGAGGAGAGAGGTGCCTCTGTGGAAGCTGGCCTCTGAGCTGCGGGAGAGGTCCAGGCTGCTGGTGCAGGGGTGAAGCACTGCTTCAAGCTGCAGAGTTGGAAGGCGCGTTCAGAGCAGTTTACTGCCACAACAAAGGGATAGAGCCCAAGGGCTGTTGCAGATACACAAAGCACACCTTCTCTCCAATCACCTGACCTCACCTCAAACACTCCTGGAGGCCAACTATGCTCTGGGCCTGGAGCAGAGAACACACATGGGGTCTTGAAGGAGGAGACCCCTGCTCCCCAGCTCACCCCTGGAGGAAGGTGTGGGACTCAAGCTCATGCCGAGATGGCTGGGTTTATTTCCCGTGTGCCACACCTCTGAGCCTGCCAGCTCAGAGAGCTCATAAAACATCTCTGCTAATTTCAGGATTCCTGGCACCGGGCCCAGGGCTTGGCAGGTGGTATGGACTCAGATGTCTTTAGGAATGAATTGAGTGTGTGGTCTGGAGGGGGAGAGGCTGGGAGCCGAGCGAGAGTGGCCTGAGCAGAGAAGGTGCTAGGGCAGGTGGTTTAGGAACACTGGGCTTCATGACCGGTAAAGAATGTGTCTCCTATCTGCCACCCACGCCCGATGCAGACCCATGTCTGTGTGATCCTTTTCTTCAGTAGGAGCCCTTGAGCCTGGTCACCTGTCCTTAATCTCACCTATCCTATGTGAGTATAAGAATTCACGTGGAAGTCATCCCAGGGCAGGTGATCTCAATCAGGGTAAAGGGCTGGGAGGGGAAGGGAGGGGAGGGTCTCCAAGTTTCTGAAGCAGCAAGACCTATTCCCCATCTGTCAGTGCCAGAGCCCTTGGGCTGAGGCTTTGCTACTGAAGAGAGCAGGAGTGCTCCCCCTGTTCCCAGATGTGGTGTCTTCTAGACTCCATGCATCACGGTGATGGCGGGGGATCATCGTACAGTCACGTACAGACAGGAGAGTCTCGAAGACACATACAGATCAGCACCCTGATGGTGATGTGCACATGGCTGTCCCATTAGTGGAAGATGGACAAGCTGTGGCTAGGTGACTCTGTCTCTTGTCTACACAGTGTGGGCGGCTGCCCCATAATGCCAAACTGGGTCTGAAAATTCTGAAAACTGCCAGATTGGTTGGTAAACAGCCACTGTCCAAGGGTCTCCTAACTGCTAAGACCCCACCACCAATCAAGCAGGAGCCCAGGGACCCTGCAACATGGTCATCGCCAGCCGGTGTCCCCAAGAGTTCCTATCGTTAATTTTTAATATTACCCCATTCATGGATATATAGTGAGATACTTGGAATGAAGGAGAGGCACAAAGATGCCGACAGTCACAGCCTCTGGGGCCCGGAAAGGATTTGATGGGGATCTGGAAAGAGTGAAGGGGAGTGTTCATGTGTTAGATTTCCTACAAATAGTTGTACTTAAGTATTTCACAGTGGAATGGTATTCATGAATTTTTTCTTTAGAGAGAAAAGTACTCCATAAGTTTTGCTTGAGGATACAACCCTCTCCTTGCTACGTCCTGCTCTCACCCTGCATTCCCAAACCTCCCCCTCTCTGTAAACACAAGGCCTCCTGCCCAGTGTGCCTGTAACCCCTTTTCTGCCTAAGGGGTTTGTGATTGGCTTCTTGAACCCAGATGGAAATGCCTCCTCTCTACCAGGCCCTTCTAGAAGCCCTCATCCCATAGATAAGCAATCACCTCCCTCCTGAGCCCATGCCCTCTGTCCATGGAGGGCAGGCCCCTCCGGGACACCGCTCGCCAGCAGCCTAGTAAACCACGGTCTGTCTTCCTGACTAGTGCTCAAGGCTGGGGCTTTTGTCTCTTCCTCCCCGAGGTGCCCAGCCCAGGGCCTGGATTTGGGATCATCAGCACCTTTCCACCCCCTCACCCGGCACCCAGCGCAGAGACCAGGTGCGCTCCCCATGTTGGAAAGCACGCTGCGTGAAGAAATGAGGGAATGCAGGTGTGAACATGTGAGTGGCCAGGAATCCCCCATGGCCTTGGTTTTGCTGGCCAGTGAGGACCTAGAGGACTGTGTGGGGCATGGGGAGTGGGGAGGGGCTGCCTGAGGCGGGGGCTCACCCATGTCCATCGCTTGCAGGCCAAAGTGGGACAGCATCAGCACCGTGTTCAGGTTCTCAAACTCCTTCTCCAGGATGACCCCGTAGGTCTTCAGGCCCGCCAGCTCCACCTCCAGCCTCTGCTGCTGGCTCTGAAAGGGGCACCTAGGGGTTCAGCCCTCGGCAGGAGCAAGACACGTCAGGGCGTGAATGCATGAGCGTGTGGACACGTGAGCACAAGAAGCAACAAGCAGACAACAAAGTGAATAAAGAAGTACATAAACATGCTTGTAAGTGAATGGGAAAGCATGTCAGAGAAAGAGGAAGTAGATACATATATAAGTAAATTAAAAGTCCATAAATAAGCAAGTAAATAAATAAGGAAATAAAGTACAAAACAAGTACATGAATAAATAGGTAAGTAAATAAGTAAACTCCTAAGTCGACAGTTAAACAGGGAAGGTCTTGCAGCCGCTCTCTGCAAAGGCATACACTCAATTCTCAAATGTCCTGGATCTCCCCACCCTAGCCAGCCACAAACACAGCCTCCACCCATTAAAATCCTTCTACCGCCCTCCCTCCAGGCCCATTCTGCCTCACAGTAGCTCATTCTACCTGCTGGGGAAGCACAGTTCCTAGGGTCAATGCTCATCAACCTGGCCCCATAGCCAGAGAGGGGGGCCCAGAAGCACAGTGGGGCTGGACTTCTGAGTTGGCTGTTTCCAGGCTCCCTTAGACACATGGCCCCACAGCAGAAATCAGGCCTGGGCCAGGAAAGATGAGGGGCAGCCTCAGGGTGGGGCGTGCGTAGGAAGTGGGCTCCCACCCATGGAGAAAGGGCATCTGTATGCCAGGGCCTCGCCAGCATGGGGCACAGTGGTTTTTCCCTGAAGATGTGGATTGGGATCTAGGTGACCCACCTGGCTCACAAGGTCATGGACACAAGGGGGCGGGCCTCCTCTCTCACCCTGTCACACCTCTTCCCTGCTGCCTTGGCTGCTGGGTCACATTGTGGTGGCTTTGGATAGCTAGGTGTTTTCTTTCCTGTTGCTACTATTATTTTTTTTTATAATACATGTTATTTATTTATTTGAGAGAGAGAGAGAGCGTGAGCGAGCACAAGCAGGGGGAAGGTGTAGAGGGAGAGGGAGAAGCAGACTCCCTGCTGAGTAGGGAGCCAGATGCAGGACTCGATCCCAGGACCCTGGGATCGTGACCTGAGTGGAAGGCAGATGCTTAAACGACTGAGCCACCCAGGCGCCCTGTTACTATTATTATTTTTTTAACATTCACTGTTCTTCGGGATTCTTTAACGAGCTGCCGGAAAGACGATGAGCAACACTCGAAGGAAACAAGAATTGCAGTGGAACTCTGGGGAGCATGGAAGTCGGGGCTGATGACCCAGCTGGAGGGAGCATGAGGAACAGCCCCCGGAGGGCAATCACTGGGCACCAGGCACCTGTCCGGGAATTCCTCGTGCAGTCAGGCATTTCATGGCCCCTGACTACCGCGGGGGCAGACCCACTGTGACAGCATCCGCCCCCCCCACCCCCTGCCTGGCGGACGCATGAAAGACCAAGCACACAGCTCCTGAGGTCCAGAGCCCAGCTCAATCCCTGAGTGCCTGCACATGGCTTTTGCAGGTGTCCCCCCACCAGGGGAGCCACTGAGGGTGAGCAGAGCTAGACGGAATGTTCAGCACGGCGTCATGTATAGAATACTTGGGTGTGACCCATGAGCTCATTGACTGGGAAATGGGGACTCAGTTATGGTTCATCCGTCTGATGAGACATCATATGGCCACGAGAGGCAATTCGTCAAAGAACATAGAAGGAGACAATGGTAAGCAAATGCTTACCATGGAAAAAAATGGAAGACATGGGAGTCAGAACTATGGTTTTGCATTTTGGTCTTTTCCGTCAGTCTGTCTCTCTCTCTCTCTACCTCCTTCCCCGCCTCCCTCCATACTTACTTACTTACAGAGAGACACACTTACTTACACACAGGGATCCACGATAACATATAGATGACATAGATTCCTTTCTCTACATGAATCAACAGATTCAGATGTGCATAGAAAGCAGCCCAGACACCGCCACACTGAGATGCTAACGAGGCTTCTCTAACGATTGGGTTTAAATTGTCTTCACACACTCTTCCAGATTTCAGAATTTTCTTCCATGAATATGTTAATTTTATAATCAGAATAAAATAACACATTTAAAAACTGTGACTTTCTGCACAGTTTCACCTCGTTTTCTTCTCATTGCTTTCATTAAAATAGATGCCACCCGGCGATGCCTACATTTATGCATACTTGCCCAAGGAAAAGCACCTGCCAGCCGCCCCTGAGACACTCTTCTCGGGGCATGTGGCCCGGACCACGGATCCCATAACAGGACACTCACAGGGACACTCATCATGTCCTCAGCTGTAGTTGGGAGGGGCTGGGGACAGACGGGGGGCCGCCTCGAGGGAAATGGGGATGCCGGCCCCAGTGGGAAGAAATGGGCCAAATGCCACTTGGCAACACAGTGAACACAGATCGCCATGTGGAATAAGCATGCAGCAGTGGAAGGCTTGTGGCACGGTCTCTGGGCACCAACACCAGACAGAACACCACATTTTATAAGGATACCTAACACCGAGACACGCGGCTGGACGGGGCAGAGGGGGTAGACTCCGGGGTTTGTGACACAGGGTTTTAAGCAGACTATGGGGTCTCCATCCCCTGCCTTGTTGACACCTCAGGGCCCTGGGCTGAGCAGGGGGCCACGGGGCCAGAATGTGGGTGCTCCCTTCCCCCAGGGGGACCTCACCTGGAACTCGACCAGCTGTCTCTGCAGGGCGTCCTGCTCTACTCGGGCTCTTTCCAGAGTCCTCCTCAGCTCTCTGAGCTCAAATTCCTTGACTGGGAGGAAAGGTACAAGAAGGCCATCTTTTTCTGTTCTTTTCCATCAAACACCTCCCCTTCTCTTTGAACTGAACTCCCCCTCCCCCTGTAGGCAACAGCTGAGGCCCCACTAAGGGCAGCTCATCCCCCAAATCCTTTCTAACAGTGTTCTCTCTTTCTCTGATAACAGGAAGGACATCTCTGTCCATTGGGGGAAAATGCGCAGACCCAGAAAGGAATAAAGAGAAACATAATTCCCTCCTCTTGCCCGCTAGAGATAAACACCACTAATAATCACATGGATTTACATATGTGTAATTTCACATAGTTGAGACTGTGGGGAAGTTGTGAAGAACACAGGTCGGGGAATCCTGTGGCCTGGGTTTACATTCAGCTCAGCCATCGACCAGCTGTGCAACCATAGGCAAGTTACTTAACCTCTCTGTGCTGTGCTTTCCTCATTTTAACTTTTTTTTTTTTGGAATCTCTATACCCAACGTGGGGCTCGAACTCATGACTGTGAGATCAAGAGGCACATGCTCTTCCAACTGAGCCAGCCAGGTGCCTCCTGCTTTCCTTTTTTTCAAAAGAAAGGGATACTATTACGAATCACACAGTACTTGTACGAGAATTAAAAGAGGTAATTTGTCTACAGTTCTTAGACCTGTGCTTGGCTCCATGGATGTTCTTGGCGATTTCCCATCTGATTATGATTTTTGCTTATTGTTTACTCTCCTAGATGGTATTTTGTTTTTTGTTCCACTTAATATCATAATTTCTTCTTGAAGGTTATTCTGACTAGGATCGTAAAACCCAAGATCACAAAGTTACCAGGATAGTGCTGAACTAGACTGCTTACTTTTCAGAAGTTTAAAGATAAACTCTTGCAAGAAACACAAGTCAAATGAGGCAAAAGGCTTCCCTGGAATCAGGCCTCCCAGCAGAAGTGGATCAGGGCACATGGCTTCCTCCTCCAAGTCCCTTTTGTGCAAATTCTGACCTTCGTTTTGCTCTGGCGGTTCCAGATGCTTTAAGTATTCTGTGGAATCTTTTTCGAATTTCCCTAAAAAGCAAAGAAATCCCAGGGTGAAGGTCAGCCCCACGAGCAAAAATGAGCAGCATCTCTGGGTCTGGCCCTGTGTCCAGACGCGAGCCAGCCAGACCCTGCTCCGTCCCCACCCCCGTCCCTGTCCCCAGGGAAACAGAGAAGCAGAATGCTCTAACGCAGGTGCCACACGATTTGTCCATTTGAAGTGCTGAATTCAGTGATTTGTAGTATATTCAGAGCTGTGCAATCATCATAATGGTCAAGTTTAGAGCCTGTTCATCACCCCAGAAGGAAACCTGGTGCCTTTAGCCGCCCATCACCCCCACCCACACATGCTCCTGCCTCCCCCAGCCCCAGACAACTGCTAATCTGCTTCCTGTCTCTGTAGATTTCCCTATTCTGGACCTTTCATAGTTTTGTTCGGTTAACCGTGTTTCCAAGGTTCACCCACACTGTGCCATGCACCAGTCTGTCATTCCTTTGCAGGGCTGAGCACTGCTCCATGGCACAGGCCTACGTTTTGTGTATCCATTCATCTGGTGATGGACGTTTGGGTCTCTCCCACTTTGGGGCTCTCATGAATAACGCTGTTATACATGTTCCCGAGGTCTTGTGAACATATGTTTTCAGTTGGCTGGGGGTCCACACCCAGGGGTGGCTCTCCTGGGTCATTTGGTGACTTGAGAGTTAACCTGCTGAGGAACCACGAGGTTGTTCCCCCCCAGCAGTGAATTGGGGCTACGATTCCCCCATATCCTCACCCATCTTGCCTTTCTGAGGGTCTCGGGAAGGATGAACAGGTGTGAGACTGATGCGTGGACTGGGGACAAGGCAGCCAGAGGAGGGGTGGGGTGGGCACACAGACGTCACAGGGCAGGGGCGGTGGGAGGCAGGGCGCTGATAACACACTCGGCCAAGCACCCCGTAGTGCCACGGGCACCCAGTGTGTGTTGGCATGGGTGGGAGGCTGCCCCAAGACCCTCCAGCCCTTACATCAGCCCCATGAGGTCCTCGGTAACTGTTCCCATTCTGCATTTGTGGAAACAAAGGCCATAGGTGGAGGTTTGCTCAGGGCATGGAAAGGAGTAAGGGACAGAGCAAGGATTCACACTCAGGTTCTTTGTGGCTACGGTGCTGCCCCCCAAAGATGCGATTGGGGCGGAGAAGCCTGATGGATGCTCCACGCAAAGAAGACATCAAATGTCAAAAGCTGTGCCCAACTACGGGGACAGAAGGTGCCTCAGTGCTTGCCTGGGGCGGGGGGCGGCTGCTAACGGGCATGGAGCTTCTTTTTGGGGCGATGAAGACTTGCTAACCGTAATTGTAGTCATGGCTGACTGTATCTGAATATTCTAAGAACCACTTTGAGTGGGTGAAGGTGAAGGTATGTGAACTCTGTCTCCACAAGGCCGTCTAAAGACAGAGCTCTGAGGCTCTGCCCCTGGGAGCAGAAGCAGAGACCGGGGACAGGACAGCTCAGGTTCTTTCGGGGCGGGGACATGAGGCCAGGTGATCTCAGGGCTCACCACACCTCGGGGAGCTCCAGCTTAACAAAGCTGGGTGAAGCCTGGCCCCCCTCTTCCCGTAGGACCCAAGCCTCAGAGACTCGGAGACGGCGCTGCCCAAAGCCCTGCACCCCAGCAAAATCACAGTCATACAAGCAAAAACGGAAAAGCTCTCCAGAGCCCGGCCATTAAGGTAAAATTTGTGGGCGCTTTGGATGGAGTGAGGTTTGCCCACGTCTGGTTCCTTTTAAATAACTGCAGAGGCCGTCGGAGAGTCACACCGATCACAGCCACACGCAGCCCCAGCACAGGATTTTACAGATTGTGAAATGAGCCTTAACCCTCTCCAGTGGGTAATTCACACAGCCTAACTCCAGGCGTCCGCTCGCTCGGGTTATGCTCAAAAGCAGGAAGTGAGACGCGTTTTTATCCTCGTTGCCATTACTCACCTTCAACAAGACATGAGTGAAAACGGCTTATTTCCTTTCACAGCCCAGCCTTCACGTGGGCCTGCGAGCCATCTGTGCACACCCTTGTCCAGTGTTCACTATCTGCTCGGGGCCAGAGACGAGTCCTGATCCACCCCCCTTCCCACCCAGAGCGCAGACCAATGCGTGTGCGCGTGTATGTCGTGGGGTGGTGGGAACAATAATGGGATGGTCTACACACAGCCTCGGCTCTGGGTGGAGCCTCAGGAGGCCCAGGGAAGCCCCCTCCCAAGTCTGTGACTGGGAAGACACCGTGGAGGGGGGCATCATCTCAGCCTCGCCAGGCCCGTGCGAGTCACTGATGTTGGTCCTCAGAAGAGCGCTAAGCGGTGGGCAATTTCATCCTTCCTTTACAGAGGAGGCAGCGGAAGCACAGAGAGATTCAGTAACTGGTCCACAGCCACACAGCAAGCACGGTGCCAAGTAGGGGCTTAGGTCCGATCTAGTTCTAACCCCATGAAGGAATGGTGAAAAAAAAAAAAAGAAACAAAGGTCACCCCTTCCTACAACACTGAACAGAGCTGTTCTCGTTCTTGGGGGATCTTTACCAGCCCCAGGGCACACCTGCGATGCTAAGTGGTATAATCCACACAGGGCCCCTCTGTGCTGTGGGACTCATTTCACTTGAAAGCAAGACACCTTAATGGAGCACTGTTGTATGAACCTGCACATTTCGGTTTCCTTGGGACGGAGCTCTGTGTCATTCTGTCTGTGTCCCCAGCACGTGGCTCAGAGCCTGGGAAGGAGGAAGCCTCAAGGGTTGTATGTTGGACATTTTGACTCATGCATTCATGCATCCACTAAACAAAAATGCACACAGAGCCCACTGTGAGTGCCAGGCGAGGTTCTAGACCTGGGAGGTACCGTGTGGATGAAAGGGAAACATCCCCAAACACAAGGGGCTTATATCCAGGAGGGAGACAGCAAACAACATTGAGGGCAAGAGGCTGCTAGAAGATGGAAGGATGGAGAGAGAGAAGGCAGGGGAGGATAGGAGGGGTGGGAGGTACACAGCCCTGCACACAGCCAGCAGGGGTAGTCTTCTAGGAGGTGACCCTGAGCAAGATCCGGGTCAAGGAGCGAAGGGTGGGAGAGAGCCTGCAGGGACTTGGCCACAGAGGCTGCAGGCAGGGAGAATGTGAAATCCAGGCCCTGAGGTTGGTGAAAAGGCCAATCACACAGCAAGGGAAACCATCAATACAGCAAAGACAACCTAGGGAATGGGAGAAGATATTTGCCAACGACCTCTCCGGTAAGGGGTTAATTTCCCAAATAGGTAAACACCTTTTGCAGCTCAACACCAGAAAAACCAAAGAAGACCTACAGATAGCTAACAGACACAGGAGCAGACACGGAGCACCAGGGAAATGCAAATCCAGACTATAAGAAGCACCCACCTCCCACCTGTCAGAATGGCTAAAACCAACCACACAAGAAACAACAGGTGTTGGTGAGGGTGCGGAGGAAAAGGGGCCCTCATGCACGGAGGGTAGGAATGCAAACTGGTGCAGCCACGCTGGGAAACAGTATGGAGGGTCCTCAAAAAATTAAAAATAGAATGATCATATGACCCAGTAATTCCACTGCTGGGTATTTATCCCAAGGGAAATGAAAACACTCCTTCAAAAGGATGTACGCACTCGTCTGTTTGTCACAGAATTATTTCCAAGAGCCGAGACATGGAAGCAGTCGGGAATCCGCCCGTGGGAAAAGGCATAAAGAACGTGCGGTGTTCACATACTTGCGGCATTTATGACAACATGGATGGACCTGGAGGCTATTATGCTAAGCAAAATAAGTCAGCCAGAGAAAGACAAATCCCATACGACTTCACTCATATGTGGAATCTAAAAAAAAAAAGAACCCAAATGAACAAACAAGCAAAAAGCAGAACGAGACCTATAAATACAGAGGGCACACTGATGGTTGTCAAGGGGACGGGGCTGCAGGAAACAGGCGAAGGGGATGGGGAGGTACCGGCTTCCAGGTATGGGATGAGAAAGACCTTTGGAATAACAGGCACAGCCCACAGAGCAGAGTCAATGACGCTGTAACAGTGTTGCATGGTGACAGGTGGTAGTCACGCCTCCGCCTGGGTGGGGTGGTGGGGGCAGAGCACAACTTTGACACCTGTTGAATCACTATGTTGCACGCCTGAAATTACTGTCACATCGTGTGTCAACTACACCCCCAAAAATGAATAAAACAAATGAAGAGGCGACTCCGTAGGCTGTTCTCTGGAAGACCCACACCCTCCCAAATGCACACTCGATATAGCGTTGGAGTAGATCCGGTCTTAAAATGCAAGCGAAAAGCAGGCCGGTGGGCGGCTTACCTGCGAGCTTCTGCAGGTGCTGTTTTCCCAGCAGGTGTTCCTTCTTGTTATGCAGGGAGCTGAAGAACTGCCTGCAGGTCCTACAGTACAGGTCATTGCCTTCATGCCCCTGTGGATAGAGATGTCTCAGAGGTGGGCGGAAGCACAGCATTCCCGCCGCCTCTGAACATAAACTTGGCCCAGAGGGGCTTACGCACTTCTCGCTGGCTGTCCGGCTTGTCCCGCTCACTCCTTCCTCCCTGGGAAACCGTCTGCCGGTTTGAGGCCTCTCCAGCCCACCTGAGAATTTCAAACCATCCCAAGACCTCTGTCACTGAGTTCTAGGAAGTGCAAGGAACAAGGAGCAAGCAACAGGGCCAGGAGGGAAAAGCAGGGAGTTCTGATGACCGGTGGTGTTGTTTGAGAAAGCGAGGACCAGCTCTGAGTTCTGCTTACTTGCAAAGAGTTTACTTTGAAATCCTAAACCAAAATGAGCTCTATGATTGAATAACAAAGATGTGTCCTTTTATCAAAATATCTATGCATGAATTGCACTATTGGGTATTTACCCCAAAGATCCAAATATAGTGAAAAGAAGGGCCATCTGTACCCCAATGTTTATAGCAGCAATGGCCACGTCGCCAAGCTGTGGAAAGAACCAAGATGCCCTTCAACAGACGAATGGATAAGGAAGATGTGGTCCATATACACTATGGAGCATTATGCCTCCATCAGAAAGGATGAAGACCCAACTTTTGTAGCAACACGTACGGGACTGGAGGAGATTATGCTGAGTGAAATAAGTCAAGCAGAGAGAGTCAATTATCATATGGTTTCACTTATTTGTGGAGCATAACAAATAGCATGGAGGACAAGGGGAGATGGAGAGGAGAAGGGAGTTGAGGGAAATTGGAAGGGGAGGTGAACCATGAGAGACTATGGACTCTGAAAAACAACCTGAGGGTTTTGAAGGGGCGGGGGGTGGGAGGTTGGGGGAACAAGGTGGTGGGTATTGGAGAGGGCACGGGTTGCATGGAGCACTGGGTGTGGTGCAAAAACAATGAATACTGTTACGCTGAATAGAAATAAAAAATTTAAAAAAATATCTATGCATGAACCCATAGGTGCTTGCATGTATCCATGGGTATTTCTGGAAGATGCACTAAAAAGGATCTGGGTACAGTGGATACCTTGGGGCACAGAGGCGGTCTGGGACCTGTGAGCAGGACCCAACTCTTCCCGGAAGCCCAAGTTTTCGTATGAGATGCTTTCTGACAAAGACTTCGTATGTTCTCCCAACCCCGGGCCAGCCTGGAGCTACGAGGCTCAGGACATCCTGCTGCTCACCGATTCCTAGGACTTCTGCCCCTTATCAGAGATTAGCTCATTCAGCCCGGACATGTGTCCCCAGTCTGGAAGAAGTTGTGTGATTTCTTGCACACCGTCTGCGAGACTTCACCCTACCTCTTGATGAAGTAGGACCCTGCTAGGAGAGGGCAGTGAGGGAGGTGGGCCCTGGGAGCTGCAGAGAGGGAGGGACGGGGAAGGGCTGCTGGAAAGCCCCAAGCCAGGAGGGAACTTGACAGATGGGAGAGGGGTCTGCGGTGCAGCAAGTCTGAGATAGGGTTCCCCCACCCCCAAGCCTGGGGCTGGTGCTGAGACATCAGTCAGTGTCCAAACTCAGCTCACATACATCCCAGTACAACGATCTGCACTCTTACCTTTGCTTACAGAAATATATCCTTTTCGTACCCTTAATCATGACAATGCAGGATGACCCTGGGAACGATTAGGGAAGGGACCACACCCTCATTCAGATGATCCCCACCACCAATCCCCTTCCAACCAGAAGCCAAGCTTCGGAAGGCCTGTCAAGCCAAAACAAACTGCTTGGTGCTCAAGAAAAAAATGTTGAAGAAAAAAATAGCTAGGATCCACTATCCTGTAAACCTCTGGTGCAGTGTACTAGTCACATGGCCCTCAATAGAAGTGTGAGGTCTTCATCTACTAGAATCAATTCACGTTTTCGACTTTCAATTCAACCAGAGGTCACTGGGTACATGTTGTGGACCAGGCACAGAGCCGCTGGCTCGGATCCGTTCACAGTCGTGCTCTGAGCTGCATGTTGTGAGGACAGCAGGGGCTTGTCTGAGGTCACAGGGTGGGTGAGGAAGAAAGGGTGCGGCTCTGGACTAGCACCTGGCAGCCCTCCAGGACAGTTGGGCATGTGGAAGGCAGAGGAGAATGGAAGGGGAGATAGACACCATGGTCATGGCCCGCCTGACAGGTAGTCAGTGGGGCCCGGTGCAGGCTCCGGGTAGGGGGGCCTGGGTTAGTGGGGGAGCAGCTGGTTGCACAGGGCAGAGGAGGGGCGAGAGGCTTCCACCTCTGCAGCCTGGCCTGGGCCCCAAGGGGCCAACCTTTCAGGCAGATGACAGATTTAGGAAGACTTTGGCACTCTAAGCCCTCAGATCGTTTTATCGTCATGATAAAAGGTGTACTTAAAACAATTTTTTTAAAAAGATTTTATGTATTTATTTATTTGTCAGAGAGAGAGAGAGAGAGAGAAAGCACAAGCAGGGAGAGGCAGAGAGAGAAGCAGGCTCCCTGCTGAGCAAGGAGCCCCACATGGGACTCGATCCCAGAATCCTGGGATCATGACCCGAGCTGAAGGCAGCGGCTTAACCAACTGAGCCACCCAGGCGTCCCTTAAAACAACTTTTAAAGTTATGATGAATGCATGCTTAAAGTAATAAAAGAAAAAAAAAAGGTGTAAAGTAAAAGTACCCCCAACTCATTTTCACTCCCCCTGGGTGAGAGTTTCCTGTGTCACCTTCCAGAAAATTTCATTGTCAACATATCTAGCTGCCCCTTAAAATTCATTTTCGGTTATTCCTCATTTGTTAGTGAAATAGGTACTTCTTTGTCAGTTAAAGCTCAAAGGGGAACATCTACCAATTGCATTGCAGCTTATATGGTCTGGTGACTCTAGGCACAGCCGCCCCATCCTCGTCCTCATGTGCTCATTGTCTGCTCCAGGCAGCCTCAACGGCCCTCTCTGCCCTAGACACGCGATATGGCCTCCCTACCCTGGATCTCTGCCCATCCTGTCTCCTCTGCCTAGAGCAACCTCAGCTTCATTTCCATCTGTTCCTCTCCTACCCAGCATGCCTTCTGGAATTTTCCATGTATTCTTATGACTCCTCATTAGGGGGACTCAGCATCATCTGCCCAGTGAGTAACACAGCCAGACAGCCTCAGGGGCTCCAGCACTGGCCTGTATCCACCACAGCCAATTCCTGGAATGATATATCTTGTGCTTGCCAGCCTCCCCAGGCCAGGAGACAAGGGACCGGCACACTTTGCTGCCTCCGCAGAGCTGGGCTCAGAGCCTACGTGCCCCAGGAACACAGAAGTAAAAGCCTTTGCGAGAGATGGACACAGGAGCCACACTCCAGCAACACAGAAAATCCAGCACCCAGATAGATCAGTCTCCTGCAGCTGCTGTCATCTGTCACCATGCCTGGTGATGAGGGCTAGAACTCATCCCGCCACAGTCCTGGAGACCAGCCTCGGGGCAGGGAATAAAGGTGTTGGCAGGACCAAGCTTCCTCCGGAGGCTCTAGGGGAGAACCTGTTCCTGGCCCCTTCTGGCCTCTTCCAGCATCTTCCAGTGGCTGATGGCATCCCTAGGCCCATGGCACATCTCTTGTACCTCATCTGCTGTGGTCATGTGAAGTTTTCTTCTGTCTCCCTCTTATAAGGCCCCCTGTGGCTATCTGATGCCCTTATTTCATCACATCCCCAAAGAGCCACCACTTTGCCTGTAAGGTAATATTCGTGGGTCCCAGGGATTGGGACCTAGATCTCTGGAGGATGAACATTTTTCAGTCTCCCATGCCCAGTGAGATGAAGTTTCAAAACCATTACCCACCCTCCAACCCTGAAAACAAATACTTACATTAAGTGGTGAGAATGGAAGGTCCTCCCTCTCCAATCTGTTTCCTGGTGTGCCTGGTCCTGATGGAAGACAGGTGGCATCAGTTAGAAAGCATCTGGGGGGTGGGGCGCGGTGATCACCTTGAGGGTTGGGAGTGCTTCTCCGAGGCTAAGAAGTGATTCCAGGCTCCTTCTGGAGAACCAGTGTTTGGCTTTAGCCGCTCAGTTCCCACTGAGTTCTGAGTGCCCCTAAAACCCATGATGCTGACCTGTACGAACGATGAGCCAGAAACCAGGAGAAAATGAAGAGTTCCTTCTTCTGATTAGCATGGCAGATTCTAGGTGGTGTTGAAAAAATTCTTTGTTGTAATTAATAGATTTTTATAGGGTAAGCTTTAAACGATTGCCATGTTTTGCATCAGGCAGTAATACAACTTGTTTTTTTAAAAACAAAGCTCTGTTGGAAGTAAGTAGGACGAGGTGTTCTCTGCTAAGTCTGACAAGCGGCATCTTTAGGGAGGAAAACACCAGCAGGAAATGACAGCTGCCCTCAGTGGACCCTTGGCCAAATGTCCCAGGGTCCAGTTTTCTTAGCTGGGATATTCACGATGAGGACCAGAGGTCCCACTGAACTCAGCGGGTTGTCTGCTAATAGTTACGGGCTAGATCAGTGGTTTGCAGATTGATGGTTTTTTATCTGCAGGGGCTTGATTAAAAACAAATGTGAGGTAGAAACTCAGTATATACAATGCACCAGAGTGGAGAGGCCTATGGACTAACTTGATTTTTTGCTTGTTTTTGTAAATAAAGTTTTATTGGCACACCCCACATCCCATTTATGGCTGCTTTCTTGCTTCAACCACAGAGTTGAGCGGGGGTGACAGAGACTACATGGCCCACAAAATGTAAAATATTTACAGTCTAACCATTATAGGGGTTTGCTAATCCCCGCTCTGGATGAAGCTGGGGTGGGGAGGCCTTGCTGCTGAGCAAAAAGTGGGGGATACCCAGTGTGAATGCTCGCTGAACTCTTGCCATGTGCTGGGTACCAAGCACCATGCTCCCTATGATTTAGTCCTCTGCTCTGCACCAAGTCCTGCCCAGAGGGACCCATTATGGCCCAGTTTTCATATGAGGACACTGAGGCACAGAGAGCTAAGTCACAGAACCATGACGAGGCAGAGCTGGGATTTGAACCAGGCACTTGTTCTGGAAAGCCCGCACCCTAACCACTGAGGAGAGAGCTCAGGTGGGAGCAAGAAGTAGCAGTGCCGGGGACAGATGGGCTCTGCGGGGCGGTCGGGGGGGGAGGAGCCCTGGGGATGCTGCCCAGCCCCCAGCACGGAGAGCACAGGGAACAACACTCCCCAGGGACGGTCAATGAAAAGCCCACTTCCCTGGATCTGAGCTCCCAGACCCCTGCTGGTGAGGACTCTGCCTAGTGGGCACACACCGCCAGGAGGAGACTGGTGCCACCCGGGGCTTGTGATGACTGCCAGTGAGCGGGAAGAGACAAAGAATAGGAAGTGCCCTTCGTGGTGAAGGCGTGGTGAGTAGACTTTCAATAAATGGAGCTCCCCTCTCTTCCTTCAGCTGGTACTCCCAGAGCTGGATCCCAAGGCAAGGATTTTGGCATGAGTGGTTTTATTTTTTATTTATTTATTTTTTTTTTGTGGGTGGTGATGCCAGGAAGCATTGGTGGGGCAGGGTGGCGGTGAATGGAGGACGGGAAGAAAGACAGAGCAGAGTGTCTTTCTGGCCAGGGACCATCACAGTCCCTCTATAGGACAAAGGGTTCATACCCAAAAGAAACAAGGGTACAGCTTTTAAATAGGAGGTGACTGGTGTGAACACTGGTGAGGCTAAGGCTAACTCCCAGGCTTTCCAAACACACCTCCTGCTGTCAAGCGCCCCCCTCAGAGTCAGGGAGCGCTAGCTCCAGGCACACCCTCCCCCCCCTGGCCTGGCCAGGCCCCACTCACCCAACAGTGCCTGCGCCTCTTGTGCCGCTTGTCTCCTCAGGAAGGCTCTGCACACCTGGGAGCTCTGGTAGGCCTGCAGCTCACGTATGTAGCGTTGCTTGTCTTCATCTGCCTCATAAACATACCTCTGAAGAAGGAGCACGGTGGTGATTCTCAGACTCTCCTCATCTGGGAGCATGGCAGGGGGTGGAGGGGGGGTCCTCCTCCAATTTGCTTTGAGTTCTCTAAAAAGGTCCCAGGAAGCTACTACCCAGCTTCTGCTTGCACATCCCTGGGGTGAGGCCCTCACTACCTACCAGTCAGTTCATTCCTCGTCTGAGGAATGTTTGTTTGGACCTACAGAAGGTTTTCTTCCAATCAACTGGAATCTGCCCCTCCCCCCATTCTGAGGCTTTCGCCATTCTGCCATGTGTGATCTGGTGACTGCAGAGGAGGGTGGCACTATCAGGTCCCTCTTGATGGGCATGCCACTTCCATTCAATCATCACTCATCCAAAAAAAAAAAAAAAAAAATCAGTGCTTTACCCTGTGCAGCGCGCTGGGCTGGGTACTGGTGATAAAGAGACAAATCAGAGCCAGCCCCAAGCTACCCCCTTTGGCTACTGTTTTCCCTCCATCAGAAACACCCATCTCACCTTTCCTCCTCTGGCCAAATCGTACTTATCCTACAAGATCCATCATAGAACATTTATTTACCTTCTCGAGAATCTTTTTCTGACGCCCCCAGGCTGGGCTGGGCGCTACCACACCAGGAACCTCCTGGAACTCACCAGTCTCTGGTACAGACCTGTGTCCTGGGCAACCCTCACCCTAGATTGGATGCCACCACCTCAGGGGTCCTGACCCCCTTGACTGTGAGCCCCTGAAGGCAGGGACTTTGACTGATCTCCAGCCACACCAGGCTGGTGCAACCCAGGGACACAGGGGGACAGTGTGAGCAATGTGAGGGGCAAAATTTCCCCTAAGAACACTTGTCTGGTAATGAATACTCACAGTGGTTATTTACTTTAGGCACTTGGTAATTTAAATAAATAATCATGTTATTAACTTAAAATTATTTTGAAGCATTGATATGCTAGCTGGTCCTTCTAAAGTGTGGAGCAGACAGTCCTCCAGATGTCCTCTTTCCTCAGGCTTCTAGACCCTCTTTCCACCTGTCAGGTGGCACACAGCCCCAGCCCTGTTCTTGCAGGGACCTGAGTCCCACCAAGGGGACAGCTGACATTGGTGTAAGGCAGAGTTTTTAAAACTAGGCTTTGGACGAGTTCCAAGCTTGGCAGCTGGTGCAGGTAGAGGGTGAAGGATTTCTGAAATCATGAAAATAGTTCAGAGACCCCCTAAAACCTTGGATCAGAGACTCTGACTCTGGCTGTCCCACCAGACATGCGCTAGGCTTTGCTATTACTCTGCTAATTTGCATAACAAATCAGCCACTCAAACTGAAATGTTAGGGGTTTAAGTCACTGTAACAGGTGGGGACCTACCCTAACCATCTTCACCCAAGTGTAACGGCAATAGTTTTGTTTTGATTGGTTTGATGTGTTAGAATGTGTGTCGTGGGGACAATTCCTCTCCACTCCTGATGTTTCCCTTGGCTCAACCCTCTTGACCTCTCCTGCACCCCTGGAAGGAGTAGCTTCTCTGAGTCATAAGCCAGAGCCAGAATCCCGCCTTCTCTCCCCTCCTCTGAGACCCATTCTCTAGCTCTTGGCCACAGCCAGGGGTCTGCCCTGTCCAGGATGGCTGGGGTTGTCCAGTGTCTGGCCCCTGGATCTATTTTCCAAGTGGTTGTAAAGCTGGGTTGCAAGACGAGGGTTGATATGGACACCCCCACCCCAAATAAGGACTTCTCTGTAATAGTTAACTTGAACTACAGGTTTTCTGTGGCCAAGACAAGTTGAGACTGAAGAGGTTTAAAGAAGTTCATCTCAGGATCATTGCATTTGACCCAGAGAAATGACACTCTGAAGGCAAGAGGCTGTTCTGGGAGAAGAATAGGCTTTGGGGTCAGACCTCCTTAGAGGGGTTTGGGAGGGCTTCTCAGAGGAGGTGACGTTGGGGCAGGCATGGCTTGACCAGTGTGGCTGACAAGTATAGAAAAGGGTTGGCAGAAATTGACAGCGGACACATACGTCCTGCTAAAAGGGCTTTGGCTGTACCCCACAGGTTGGTGTTTCCTCCTCTGTGACCCCAGAACATACTTCCATGGGAGGCTACAGGTGCTCACTGGAAAAGGGGTTCCATGTAGAATTAGTTTGAGAAATGTCTCACCCTAGAGCTAAGCCTCGGAGACTTTCATGGCCCTGAAGTGCTTTCCTCTGTCTCTCCCTCCACGCCTCCCTCCACGAGAGCATGGGCCTCTGCTGAACTACTTTCTAAGTGAACAGAATCATATCAAGCGCTCCCAAAACATTCTGCAGAGGGAAAAACCTATCTCACGTGACTTAGCGCAGAACTTCCCAAACTTATTGGACAACTAACCCATGTTTCATGGCTTAGTCATTCTGCTTAACCCAGTTTGCTAAATGGTGGGAGCCAAAACCCGGGAGAACCAGCAATTGCTTTTAAGGAGTGGGCTGGGAGGCACCACATGCCTGGTTTCCAGAAGGTTCCCTATGGCTCCAGTGTAAAGAGATGGGCTGGGAGAACAGCCCCAGATAGAGGCTGTTGGCAGAGGGGGCTGCTTCCTCCTTGTTCTACGCAGAAAAGGACTTACTTGCTTTTTCTCTTGAGACAGCTGAGCCCACTGAGCCGCCAACATCTTTGTGATTTCTGTAAAAGGCAGGTCTGGATGCTTGGCCCTTAGCTGACTCCTCTGCTCTTTTAGGAAGATCACGTACCTGTGCCGGGAGTGGAAGAGAGGCTCTGAGCGACCGGCTGCAGGGGGTGGGGAGGGGCAGGGGGCCTAGGGGAGCGATTTCCAATTCCTGGTTGTCATAAAAATAAATAATGGCTTTGCCCATGTTTTCAATATAATGAGTGAATGGAGGTCAATTCAAGAAGGAGAAATACTCGAATGGCTGGTTTATCCAGAGACTCATGCAAGACAGAGGAGCCAGAGAAGGCTCCCCAAGGAAGGGGCACGAGGCATGCCAAGAGGCTCAAGTCTGAGCCTCAGTTTCTCCCTCTGTGGAATGGACAGACATAATGCCACCTGTCCACAGGGTTACAGGAGATGGAAAAGAAGGCCTTCACTCCGAGAAACATGGGGATAAAGGGAAAAGAGCAGAAACTTCCAGAACAGCAGGGTGACCTGCAAATCCATGGGGACTGACTGTCATGGGACCTGTTCTCTGCAGCACAAGATGCCAGGATGACAAGAGACAAGGTTTCCGGGAACTGGGAAGGGCATCTTGAGCCCAGAGCACCCATATCTGTAAGGCTGGAAGGGAAACCAGACCTGCTGGCCCCAAACACACCATCTTCTGGTCTGTGACCCACACGCAGCTCTTCTGTCCTCTCCTTTTGAGCATCAGAATGTTATTACAGCTTAAAGAACTAACAATCCACATCCCCTCCCTGTGGTGTGAGGCCCCCGGTGGAAAACAGATCAAGGCTAAGATGGTCATGGCCAGGCCCTTCACACATGGCCACTGTCTTAGCACCCTGTCAGGTAGGCTGCCCCATCCTTACCCTGTCACAGGAGCACGGGGAATGGAAATATCCCTTGCGGGTTTCCTTTTCTTGCCTTTAGGCCAGCCCCCTTTCCTTTTCTGAAACAGAAATAGCAGAGAGGAAAATCTTGAGACCATTTAGCAGATTCCCATCCCAACTTACAACAATAATGGCAGGACACTAAAATCTCCTCTCAGTCCCTGTGTCCTCTCACCTCCTAGCAACTCCGCAGAGTAGAGATGAGCCCCTGAACACAAGGGGACCAAGGCATAGAGATGTGAATCCCTGCCCCAGTTCCCAGCAGGTGCAGGAGTCTGGATGATATCTCTTCTCATCCAAGCTGTGGAATGTTCATCAGATGAGATCAAGAAAGCAACCCAAGGTTTAGGTAACTAGTTTCCCGGTGGGAGTGGGGGTGGGGGGTCAAACCTCAGCACTGGGGAGGGGGATGGGCAGGGGCCAAAGGTTAACAGCAGAGCTTGACTGAAGCCCAGCCCAGTTCACATCTCAGCTCTGCCACTTACCTGCTGTCTGACCTTGGGCAAGTAAGGAACATCCCTGTGCCTCAGTTTTCCCCACTTGTAAAATGGAGATTAGGATAGCCTTTACCTGTGGGCTGTGGTAAAGACTAAATGTGCTAATATATGCATAGTTCTTAAAACAGGACCAGGCACCCAGGAAGTGCTCACTCGGTGCAGGCTGCTAAGATTGAAGCCAGTCTTGGGAGAGAGACCCAAGTTGCAGACTTACTTTTCCATTCATTGTGTGTGAAGGATCCATGGGCAGTGACTGAGCCCTTGCTGTCGTCAGGGCTCTGTGCCTGCTCAGAGTCTAGATGGCTGAAGAGGACCCAGGTCTTGCCCTCAAGCAGCTCACAGCCCAGCCACGGAGGCTGACTTGTATATAAATAATTGCAACCATTCAATACAAGAGATAGGGGTTACAGAGCGACAGACGGGGTGTCCTTGCTCTCAGGGCTTGGATTCCAAGTTTCCCAAACCAAACACACACATGTGCCCAGAATCGTAGAGAGAACTGAGAATGTGTCCTTGTAAACCTCTGTTTCAACTGTTCCAGCATTTCTGTTCAACACTTCCCCCCGACATGCCCATCTCAGCCTGGGCAGCGGTTAGCATCAGGGGCCTTAAGGAGCAGGAGGGCCGAGCTCGGGCCAGGAAGAGGCATAGAGCCAGGGTAGCAAATATGTGTAATGAGATGGTGCTGCAGAGCACCTAGCAAGCTGCCAGGCATACAGTAGGTGCACAATAATGACACTCTCTCTGGCTCCCTTCTGATAGCAGGGTCTACGCTGATCCCTAGAGTCTGAAAGTGAAAGACAATTTGTTCAGAACCCTGGACAGCTCCCAGGGCCTGAGGTCACCTCTGATTTCCCATAATGAACACTTCTGGAAACCACCCGCATTACAGTGGACTTCACCAAGGACTTCCCAACACGTGTGTTCCTGAATGTGAATCTCACATTCCCCAGTGAAAGCAAAGATTATCGTCATCCTATGCCGCAGGAAGACACTCAGGAAGATGGTATGATGGGCCGCTGAGGGGCTGTGCCAAGCCGAGAGCTGGGAGCATGCCATGGCTTCTGTTAAAGCAGTATCTCCTGAGGGAGACCCCAAAGCTGCCTGGGGTCAAGTGGGATGTGGGGCAGGTCACCTCTGCCCTGCCTCACAGCCAGAGCTACCCCTTCTCCTTCCCTGCTCAGCTCCTCTGCTGTAGCACAGAGGGGAAGTTTGTTTCTGATTAGAGGAAATATCCCCATGTGTTTTATTGTACTTCTCTATCTCCTTGTTCTATAAATCAAAAATCAAAATAAGGGTGCTTGTTTATCATTTCATGGCCATCCTTGGCCCTTTGTTTCAGCTTCTTTATTACAAGATAATCTTTCCAGAGTGTTTTCTTAGTTTGCCCACAAACTATAGTCATGGAGACAGAGGCACTTGGGATATGTCTCTCTGCAGCCTTTTGTTCCTCCTCCATTTCTCACACAGAATTTGCCCTTAATTGATTTGGCCCTAAATAGAGCCACGTACGCAGTGAGCTAGTCATTAGCACAGGCTGCTACTGCATGGAGAACTTTCCCACGCACTTGAGGACATCCATTAAAAAGAAGAAGGCAGCACAGAACACGGTGAGCAAGACAAGAGTGAAAAAAAACAGGGTGGTGGAAAGTGGAGCAGAAAGCCCACTTTCAGCAGAGCAGAGACCGAAGGGGGAAATCCCTTCTGAGAGGATTCTTGACCAGCAGACCTTTCATATTCAAATTTCAACAGATGGTGAATTTTGGATATTTGGTTTAATAGATAGAATTTTCTTTTACAAAGAAAAGCTCCTCTGGGAGTCAGCAGGGTGGAGTGGGAGTACAAGGGGCCAGAGTGACAGACCTGGCTCCCGCCCCCTCTCCCCCTACCACAGCTCTGACCCACCTTCAATCTGAGAGCTGTCCTTACCCCTGCAGCTCCTACCTATGATGCAAAAGGCAGCACAGGGGAGCTGAACTAGTGTTTGTAAAGGGCTAGAACAGGACCAAGCACCTAGCAGGGACTCTGCACGTGTGTCTTCTCTTTGCCTGGGAAGGAAGACCTCAAGGACATGCTCATGAACAGGATTCTACAAGGAGACTGAGCATCAAAGAGAAAAATAGTTTATGCAACTTTTCATGTCCTTCCTTTGGGAACCAGACCAAAGCTCAGAAATGCTTAAGAAAAGACTCTCGACTTCTGTGCATTTTACAGTCAACTCCCCAGCAAATTTTGTGGACTGGCTATTTGCAAGAGGACAGAAGGTGTTTAGCTAAAGGGCTGGCAGCCCTACCCCCACCCCAGCCTACCGCTGCATCTGAACAATGAGTGTGATTATTGCAAGATGGTACCTGCATTGCATGGTTCTAGACACTATGAGAAAGGTTAAACTGTTAAAACCTGGGTCCCTGACTTTAGACAACATGGTCCTTTTAAATCAGAATTCTAGTTCATTTGTTTCTGAAATAAACCAACACAGCAAAAGCAGTGCTTGCTTTCTTTCTTTCTTTCTTTCTTTCTTTCTTTCTTTCTTTTTTTAAATGGAAGGCTATTAGACACCAGTGACACCCCCTAGCCTAATTGCTCATCTCAGCTTTAACCAGCTTTGTAGACTAGAAGCCTCAGAGATAATTGATGATTCTGTGTTGGAATGGAGGGTGGTGGTCCAGGAGTAAAACAGTTCAGATATGAGTCCCATGTCTCCACGGACTGGCTGTGAAACCTCGAGGACTTTACCTAACCTCTCTGGGCCCTGGTGTCCTCCTCAGTGCATGGAGATGCCAGTTCTCCCCTTGCTGGCTGTAAGGGTTGTATAGGCTAGGACAGGTGCCAGGGCCCAGGAAGCCCATGGAGTGTCTGGTACTGTGATTGAAGTCAGCCCTCCTGTGTTCTAATCCTGTTCTACTGCCTTCTGTGCCTGTTGCCTCCGGAAAGTCCGTAGACCTTTCTGAGTGCACCTCCACCCAGAAAGTGGGGCTGGCTTGTGATGGTCACATGAGGAAGATATACACAAGAAAGTGCCACCATGATTGGAATTTAGCTTTGGCTTAAGGGGAGACAAACCTGAGTTAGGCTCCTCACACATCTCTCTGTGGCTCTGGCAGACATGGCCACTCATCTCCCTAGTATCCATTCTACCCTTTTTAATTAGGAATTGAGCCCTGATTTTTAGCTGGGTACATGGTCACCTGGAATCAATGTTTCTCAGCCTTCCTTGCAGCCAGGTGGGGCCATGTAACTAAGTTCTGGCCAATAAGGGCAAAGTAAAGTATGGTATGCAAATTCTGGCACACCTTCATAAGAGGAAGGCATCTTTTTTGCCTCTTTCTCCCCCTTGCTGGCTGGAGGCAGACATGAGGGCTGGTGTTCAAGCAGCCACCTTGGACTATGAAGCAGCATGCTAAGGAGAGTAGAACAGTGAGATGGACAGAGTCTGGGCTTTTGCTGGTGGAGATGCCTCCACAGTGCCCCAAACCACCTTCCTCTATATGTCATTTACATGAGAAAGAAACAACTTTTGATGTTGCCTAAATCACTATGACTTGGGGGAGTTTTCTGTTATGTGAAGCTGAGACTCATACTAATGCATACAGAGGGCTGTTTTATTTTTGTGTTTCTAAGCAGACCTGGTCATCTCTTACTTGAACTATTACAATAATAAGGGGAAAAGAAAAAGAAATCATTGTGGATCTTTTATGGAGCCGACCCTTTGGTAGGCGACCACTACTTAGACTTCAGCCTGGATCGGGCTATCTCCACGTGGGAACTGCTCACCCCAGAATGCTCACCAGTGACGTTGAGTTTCCTGCAGTGGTTAGGCTCAGGAGCCAGACATTCAGAGCTTAAATCCTGCCAAGCCATTTACTTTGTGACTCTGGGCAAGTTCCTTGACTTCTCTGTGCCTTAATTCCATCCTCACTGAAAAGAAGAGGTAAAAATACCAACCTCCAAGCGTTGAGAGCATTCAGAGACAAGCCACAGGAGTTTCCAGCCCAGAGCTCAGAACACGGGAGATGTTAAGCATGAAGGTCGTAACAATGCTGGCCCAGCACATGAACCCTCCGTGCCTGGCCTGGGTATAGCACTTGCCTTTGGCTCCCCTGTGTCCTGTTCCTTTGGGTTACCCTGGTTGGCCAGAACAACGCACTGCATGGGCAGAGACGAGGGATCCCGGCAGTGGGTGCAGATCACAGAGCATCCTGGGGGCAGGCCACCTGTCTCATCTGGAGGTGGGAGAAGGGGTTTTGCAGGAGCTGAAACAGGAAGAAATGGCCCCATAAGATCGGAGGTATCAAAATCACCGCCACCCCCTGGGTCCATCTGGCACAGGCACTCTGTAATGCGACACGTGCATTTTCAGATGCTCACAAGTGACAGCCAACTCTGGAAACCAAAGTTGGCAGTCACTTTTCTGGGGCACAAACAGCAGCTACACACACAGAAACAAGGCAGTCTCCAGTGAGGGGTCATAGCCTGGTAAGCCATTTAAGCATTTAAATGGTTAAATGGGGGTGCCTGGGTGGCTCAGTTGGTTAAGCTTCTGCCTTCAGCTCAGGTCATCATCCCAGGGTCCTGGGATCAAGCCCAGCATCTCCCTGCTCAGCAGTTAGCCTGCTTCTCCCTCTACCCCTCCTCCTGCTTGTGACCTCTCTCTCTCTCTCATGCTTTCTCTTCTCACTCACATTTTTAAAAAATCTTAAAAAAAAAGAAAAATGGTTAAATGTAAAAAAATCATTTATAAATCGTTTATAAAACCAAATATCCCAAATCCACCATCTGTTGCAATTTAACATTTTAACCATTTAACCATTGTTAAAAGCGTGGATTCTGGAGCCAGGCCCTCTGTGTTCAGACCCCAGCTCCCAGGGATGAGCTTCACATCATTAGCAACACGCTTCACCCATAAGGACCGCAGTTCCTGCTGCACATGTTGAGGCAGAATTCATGCCTGCCTCATGGAGGTGTGGAGAGGTCTATCCCACAACAGGTACTGATCAACAGGATGCCTACTGCGTGCTGGGCATGCAGATATGAGCGCACACAACAGGCAGAAATCCGGTTCTCCTGGAGCTGATGTTCTGGGGGGTGAGGATTAGACTAAAACTTGTAAAATACGCACAGGGCCCTTAGTAGTCTTTCATTTGGGGGGCATTTTAAACCGATGCATTAGCAGAAATCTATCCCTCAGGAACGTAGACTGTGGCCAAGTTATCGTCTGATCCCATTTTACAGACTGGAGGGAGGTAGGGACGGGATGCTGCGTAGCTCGGGTCTAGTAGGTGCACAAGTGCGTGACTGTGCTTTCTCCAGCCTCTGCACACATGCAGGCCCATGTGGAGATGGGGAAATCGAGGTACTGGGAAGCAGAGTGATCATCCAGAAAAACCCAGGTAGGGATGGCTTGGAACCTGGGTCTCCTGGCTGCCAGCCCAGTAGTCTGTTCTCCCCCACCTGTCCCGGCTGTGGCTCCCCGTGCTGAGGGGAATGTTACAGCTCTCAAGGTATGTCCTCAAGTGTGACCCCTTTAGTATCTTGTCTTATTTAACAAGCTATGATGCAGGAAATGCCCCCTGCCAAACTGTTCCAGGTACCAACTCATCCAAGAGAGGAAAGGCAGGAAGGAATCACTGACTTCCCTCTCAGCTTCCAAGGAAGAGGAAATGCGGCAAATGGTGATGACCAAACCCAGAGTTCTAGAACTTTCCTGGCCTGTCCCCATTTCTGTAGCCACATGGTCAAGGCATTGTAATCCATTCACTGTTCTTTTTTGTTTTGTTTTTGTTTTAGATGGTATTTTTTAAGTCATAACTCATGGGTATGGTGTAGAATTCAAAGGGGGTACCCATGGGGTAATAGTAAAAGCTAGAGCTAGCTCGCCCCTCTCCCATCCTGAAGCACTCAGGTCCCTCCTTGTTAGGGGGCACTGTTAGGGGGCACATCACAAGTCCTTCTGGAGCTAGTCTGTGAATTTACACACACTTCATCCTCCTGCACAATGGCAAACTAGTTGCACTGAACTTAATTTGCTTCTATGCAAACTATGCTTTGGATCTCCTTCTGCTGGCCATTTAGAGCCGCCATATTTTTTGGGAAGGCTACATCATATTTGCAGCGTGGACAGGCCATGGTGCATTTAGCAGCCCCTGGTAGAAAATCCAGGTTGTCCCTGGTCTTTGCACACATGGCATCACCTTCATGTGGTGGGTTCTCTAGGAACGGGATTGCTGGGTCAAAGGGCATGTGTCGTCCAGGTAGACCAGATAGACTGTGGCTGGCACAATCCCTTCCATGGAGCTGGACCCATCTTATACCTGCCAACAGTGTAAGACTCACCTTCCTCCCATAGATACCTTCCTCTGAGCCCAGAGATGACAGTCCCATCACCTCTCTCTCTGCTCACATCCCTCTATGACTCTCCCTTGACTTCAGCATGAATCCAAGTGCCCTGGTCTGGCATTTGAGGCTCCAGGAGGCTGGACCTTCATGCTCCTCCAGCCCCACATTCCTCCAACTGATATAAAGGACACTGAAAGGTAGAGTCAACATGGATGGACAATAGACCCTGCGCGTGTATTATGCTGTTTAATCTTGAGCATGGCTCATCACCATGGTGACATCCATGGGTGGACAAGGAAGTTCAGGGAAGTCGGTGACCTTTCTGAATGTTCACAGCAGGGTAAGGATAGATGGGACTCCCCATTTGGGACTGCCTACCCTTTCCACCTCCCTAGTCACCTTGCCAACAAGCAGAAATCCTCTCCCATTCAGTACAGCCTACTTCAGACACCATCACCCCGCTGGGCCCAGTCCCAAAACTCCCCTGCCTCAGCCTCTTTCCAAAGATCCAGCACAGGGGGCAACAGAAGAGCCCATTTGGGAGTCAACCCTACCATGATTTATTCATCTGGGGGACAGACCTAAGTACCAGGGACAGACAGAGTGCCAGGCCCCAGGCAGAGGCTGCAGAAACAGCAGTGGACAACATCACAGAGTACACAGAGCTCTTGGTTAATGAGTCTTAGTTCCCTAGACAAAAGCCATGGTGATTGCTCTCTTTTTGATGAGTAAAAGGAAGCCAAGAATGCTCGATGCTGTTCTAACAATCTCCAATCCAGAGATAGGGTGTGCCTACTGGCTCCGCCTGGCTGCACAGTACAGTGGTCACATCCATAAATCGGTTAGAATGCCCAGCTCTGCCACCTACCGGCCATGGCATTGCTTAGTGCCTCAGTTTCCCTGTCTGTAAGATGGGAAGGGGCCACCGAAGACTGAGGTGGTTGTTACAGGGCCTGGCACCCAGGAAGCAGTCAATAGCCAAGAACTGCTCTTATTCTAAGTAAAATTCTGCTTTGGGACGTGAGAATACCTTCTGGGTTCAACTTTAGGCTCCAACGCCACTTGCCCTCCAGTGCCAGAAACACATTAGCCAGGAGCAAATTAAACCATTTTCACTTAATTGTCCTATGGGGTTAGGAAACGGGATTTTCTGCAAAAGGGAAGGCTCTGGACAAAGACCTGAACCTTTCCAGCATCATTTCTAACATCTGCGCGCTCGGCGAGACTCTCTGGCACCCACAGAACTGGGTTCCATTCCTAGTTATGCCCTAATGACCCGAGGGGCCGAGATCAGGTTACTGAAAGCCTTGGGATTCTCACTGTGGAGATGTGACAGTGCCGGCCCCCAGGTCTCTGAGGGCATTACGTGGGACAGGTGAACACAGGTTCGCTGAGCCAGAGCTGGAGCACCGCAGGGGGAGGGCCCCACGACGCAACTGCTCTCAACACCAAAGTCATCCACTGATTGCGCGCGCCCGTGTGCCCCAAGCAGCGCCCGGGACCTTGTGCGACCGCCCTGATAGCAAGCCAGCTCTGGAGCCCGGACCGCACCCACTTTGGCACCGGAGGCCGCGGACAGCGCCGCAGCTAGGCGGCGGGAAGTCCGGACGGACACCTGTGCCCAGAGACGCGCGGGGAGGGGACCCGGGGGGGCGCAGGCGGGGTCACGTTCTAGGGCCTGGGCCCGCCCGGCATGGGCACCCGAGAGCCGTGGGCCTGGCTGCACCGGAGCGCGCACACCCTGTCCCGGGGACGACCTCCGCACTCCCGGACAGCGGGGCGCGCGCGACGCAGAGGGGCGCAAGTTCAGCCACTGACCCGCAGCCTGGCCGCCGTCCCGCTGCATGTCGCCCGCCCGCCCGGGCCGCCGCCCCGCGCCCGCAGCTCCGGTCCAGTGCCCCCGGTGCGCCCGCCCGGCGCCCCTCCGCTCCGCCCCGCCGCTTCGGGTCCCCGGAGCGTGGGCTCTGTCCTCTGGGAACCGCGTAGAGCCGCCGGGGGCTTGGGCGGGCGCGCGGGGCCAGAGTCCCAGCCGCGCAGTGTGGCCGGAGCTCCGGGCTTTCCGGGCAGCCGGGGACTGGGCGGGGCCAGAAGGGGCGGGGGGAGGGGCGGAGGGCCGGGAGAGCCTTTCCCCCGGCCCCCGCTTTGGCAGAGCCAGTCACTCCCCCGCACCGCAGTTATATAAATGCGCCCAGTTGACCGGGAAGAGCCAATCAGCGACGGCTCATCTTCCAATTATGTCTTTTAATATTTCCAGATCACACCAGAATACATAACGCATTATCACTATGGCGAAATTAGAAAACTCAGAGCAGCCCCTTTCCCGAATCCAGTGCTTCAGAGCCAACCACCTGTTAACCCATTGGTGCCTCCCCATGCATTAAACTTTTTTAAATTCAAAATATAATTTCAAAGATAATTCTAAGCATATAAAAATAGCGCCAAGTTCCACCTGTCCTTCCAATGGCAACACTTCCATGATCGCGTTTACCCTTCCGGTCTGTGGCAGGTGACAGGAAGGCCATTAGGGGCTTCACACACTGTCTGGGTAATTTTGAGGTTGCCTTTGGGATGGCACAGCCTCTAGAGTCAGTCGGTCTGGGTTCATCAGCCTACCCCTCAGACCCTCTGCTGGGCGGCTTACTTCATCTCTCTGGGCCTCAATCTCTTCGTAGGTTTAGCGGGGACAATAACCGTGCTTATTATTAGGCACAGTTGTGGGATCAAAGTCAGTGCTCCTACAGTACAACGGAGACACGCGGCAAATAGGTCAGTTGTTTTTTCTGAGGTCTTCTGTATCTGTCAAGGGTAATGAGCAATTGTGTAACCACACAATTTGTTTTTTTTTCCTACTCCGCAAAGCTCCTAATCCATTTCCATGTTTTCTTTTTAACCAACCCAGGGCTTCGACCAGTAACTCTGGGAAAGCTCTCTGTCCCTCAGTTTCTTCCTCTATAGAATTGAGGTACTATTAATAGCCTCACAGGGATGTTTGAGGATTCTATGAAATGCTGCATGAATATAGGTTTGCTATTAATCGATACTGCTGATAACTGGCTAGCCATCTGAGAAGGGAATGGACTCCGATCTAGTACCAAATACAAAAGTAAACTCTAGATGGATTAAAGACCTAAATTAATAAAGCGAACAATAAAAATCACACGAGGAGACTTTGGGATCCCAATAGCATGCCTAGATAGGAAGCTCTCTACAGCAATACCTTGTCAGATGGAAATATTGAGATGGGGGATTACTTCCAATACACTGAACTCACAGGAAAATCGGGGGAAATACCCAAGGATCACAAGCCTCCCCGCAAAAAGAGGAGTAATCAGCCCAAACCAGAGGATGAACCCAGAAGTCTGGCCTCCACTGGGTACAACCACCTATGACATTGGCTTCAAGTTTGAGGAACTCTGGCCGGTGCCGTGGACCACAGAACAAATCTCCCCATATCGCCAGCTTCTGGCAGAAAAACAGAAGATGATATAAATAAACAGTCTCTCCCGTGAATGTGTAGCCAGAAGACTGCTCCCATCTATGTCTGCACTGGCCTCCAAGGAAAAACACACCCGGCAAAGGAAATTAAAATAGCTACAGGTTCGTAGCGCCCCCTGGAGCCCAGAAGAAGCAAATGCAATCTGATGAATCACTACATTCTACCTCTGAAACTGATTAATACAGTACATGTTAATTAATTTGAATTTAAATAAAAAACTTGAAAAAAGAAGCAAATTAAATGCTCTCTGGAGGACAGCAGCTTCAATTCAGGCCTATCACTTTGTACCATCTATGAGCCCATAATGAAAAATGAAAAGTCCAGTGAGGGTTACTCCACACAGGTGAGAATGTGTAAACCTAAAAAGACAGAGTACAACAGGTTGTGGTGATGACACAACTTCTGTGGAGGGACTGGAGCTCCACACACTGCTGGTGGGGGTGTAGAATTGTGGGACCATTTTTGAAAGCAGTGTGTCCGTTCTTAAAAAGTTCAACATACATTTCCACATGATTGGAACCTTACATTCCTAGGTATGTGTCCCAAAGAAATGAGGGCATACGTCCACGCAAAGGCTTCTCTAGCTCTCTCTCTCTCTTTTTAAAGATTTTATTCATTTATTTGACAGAGAGACACACAGCGAGAGGAAACACAAGCAGGGGGAGCGGGAGAGGGAGAAGCAGGCCTCCTGCTGAGCAGGGAGCTGATTCCAGGCTTGATCCCAGGACCCTAGGATCATGACCTAAGCCCAAGGCAGATGCTTAATGACTGAGCCATCCAGGTGTCCCTCACACAAAGGTTTCTATACAAGTGTTTACAACAGCTTTAGTGCCTGGTGACACAAGTCCGGAAGGTTGCCAGGGATGAGGGCTGGGTGTGGGGAAGTGGAAGGAGTCAAAGGGTTCTGGGAAATTTTCAGGGGGATGGATGTGTTCATTATCTTGATGGTGCTGATAGTTCCACAGGTGTATGTGTGTGTCAAAACTGCTCTGCATTATGTGTCTACACAGTTTATTCTAGACTGATTTTTACCTCAATAAAGTCGTTACAAAAACACAATTGGCAGTTTTAGGCAAGAGTGATTATACTGCACTTTTGAATTTGTAAGAAATATAGAAGTAAAATGGCACAAAGGACAGGCTCTGTGAGGGGTCTATGTTATTCGAGTGAGACCATGATAAAGATGGACATTATAGGGGTGCCTGGGTGGTTCCAGCAGTGAAGCGTCTGCCTTCGGCTCAGGTCATGAACCCAGGGTCCTGGGACCGAGCCCTGCATCCAGCTCCTTGCTCAGTGGGGAGCATGCTTCTCCCTCTGCCTGCCACTCCCGCTGCTTGTGCTCCCTCTCCCTCTGACAAATAAAACCCTCAATAAGAAAAGATGCACATTATAAATTCTAGAACAACCAGTAAAAAAATCAAATAGTGGTATAGCTGCTAAGTTAATAGAAGTTATAAAATGGGATGCTAAAAAGACTTAATTCTAAATAAGAAAGGGAAAAAAGAAACACAAATAAAGAACTGGTAAGGAAAATGAAAAGCAAGTACTAAGGTGCCAGACTTCAGCCCAACCCTGTGAACAGTTACCGTCACAGTGAAGGGACGTGCCATCCCGTGAAAGAGATGGAGGCTACCAGCCTGCATACAGAGAGGGACCCTGTGAGGAGCTGGCTACAAGAAACTCTCTTTAAATATGAGAGAAGAGAGGCCGACAGGAGAAATGTGGGAAAGCAGACCATAAGGGGTCTCCCAGAGCTATATGACTATTTTGTCTGATAGACAAAATAATAATAATTAATCATTAATGATTTACAACAATTAACCGTTAATTAATAATTATTTATTAATATTGATCTTTAATTTATTTAATCCATGCATTATTATTTTAATTTATTAAAATTATCAATTATTATAATATATTATATAATACATTATCATACATATACTTATTAAAGTTAGTATTATAAATTATTTTAATTTATTTATTAACAAGTAATTAACAATTAATAATTATAATTATTGATAGAAATAACAGAACTTACTACAAGGAATATCGCCAGAGATGTATCACAGAGGCAAAGGGCCAATTCGTGAAGAAGCCATGATAATCTTAAACGTGTATATCTGTATTAATAAAGCTTCAGAGGATACGAATCAAAACTGACAGAAACAAAAGGAGAAACAGACAAATTTTAATCATAGCTGTAGATTTTTTTGACATCACTCACTCTCTCAGTAATTGGTAGACAAAGAAGATAAAAATCAGTAGGTATATAAGGAGAACTGGAATGCTCCATCAGAGACCTTGATCTTGTTGACATTATGGAATCCTCTCCCCAGTAATAGCAGAAATTGCATATTTTCTCGTCTGGATGGAAAATTCACCAAGATAGGCCATGTGCCAGACAATAAAGTACATCTTAAATTGAAAACAACCCAAACCATACAGAAACCACGTTCTTTGATGATGGAAATGTTCAATTATAATTTAGTAACAATAAGATGTTCAGAAAATCCCCCGAATATTAGGAAATTAAGCTACACATTTCTGATTAATGCATCAGTCAAAGAAGAAATCAAGGGATTGATTGGAAACCAAGTTTTAAAACTGAATGATACGTGTTGTGTCTATTAAACAGGTGATGTTTACTTTACAGGGTTAAAAAGACCAGAAGCTAGAACTATAATACTGAACAGATACCTTGTAATCTGGGAGAGCAGTGATGGTGGTCAAACCATTTATCCCTCGAGGCAAAGGCTGAGATATTAATTAAAGCTGAGATATTAATTAAAGCTTTATAAAATAAATATGGCAAGAGAGCCTGTGGTGCAGCTGAATACCCAACTCTTGATCTTGGCAAAGGTCATGATCTCAGGGCCTTGAGATTGAGTCCCATATCGGGTTCCATACTCAGGGGAAAGTCTGCTTGGAATTCTCTCTCCCTCTCCCTCTGTCCCTCCTGCACTTGTGCTCTCTCTTAAATCAATGAATCAATCATTAAAAAAATAAATATGGTAAATTTCTAGGTTAAGCACTGAAAATAAGGAAACAAACTATGTAACTTTCAAACGGGAAAATGCAATAAGAGCACAAGTTCAAACAATCCTAAAGAAGAACAAAAATAGAGAAAAAAGAAAATCAAAGAAGAGGAAGACAAGTAAAAATACAAAATCAGATGGGTAGAAATAGCTCCAAAGATACCGGTAGTCACAGGCTGCGTAGACAAGCAAGCCCGGGGGGCTGGGTCAGAGTGTCCTATGCGCAACAGTACAAAACCCAGCCATACGCTCTTTGCCTGGGGTTGAAAGTCAAGGGATGGACAAGAGCACAGTAAGTAACAGATGTATTGAACAAAATGACATTTAGATTAAATCATCATGTGGGTGGGGGGTTACCTGGGGGGCACAGTCAGCTGAATCTCTGACTCAGTTTTGGCTCAGGCTCAGGTAGTGATCTCAGGTTCATGAGACCCAGCCCCGTGTTGGGCTCCAGCCTCAGTGCGGAGTCCCTCCCGCTCTTT